ATTTATTTATTTTTTATTTTGTTTCTTGTGGTTTAGGTGTCATACCCCAAAATTCATTATCAAGACCCATGCCAAGGAACTTCATTCTTATGTTTATTTCAAGGAGTTTCATGGTTGTAGATCTTAATCCATTCTGAGTTAATTTTTTTATGTGGCAAATATATCCAATGTGGTCCAGTTTCATTCTTTTATATGTGAATATCCAGTTATCTCAGCACCAGTTATCGAAGAGACTCTCTTCTTCATTGAGTGCTCTTAGCTCCCTTGTGAAATATTAGTTGTCCATGTCTGCATGGATTTGTTTCTGAGCCTTCAATTCTGTTCCATTGGTCTTTTTGTCTGTTTTTATGCCAGTGCCATATTGTTTTAATGACCAGAGCTTTACAGTATAGCTTGAAATCAGGAATCTTGCCTTCTGTGTGACCCTATTATTTTATAATTAAAATTAGCACTGTAAAAGACATAGTGGAGGAACAAATGACCAAGTTAAGAGATCATTATAAATCCCAGCAGTTTTCCTCAGTTAGATGGACTACATTTGGCTACATAGCTAATATTTAAGGATTTGACAATGATACTGTTGTATAACGTTAAGAAACTTACTCTAATGTAAATATATTTCATATTAAAACAGTGAGCTAGTAATACTATTCAACATTTAACAAATATTTAGTAAGTAAAAGGCCATGTTCCAAAAGTATAAATTCATTCAATCCTCACAATAATCCCATTAGTCAATAATACTATTATTGCCATTATCTCATTTTACAGATGAGAAAAATCTGACACTGAGAGGAAATAAATATTCAGTCAGTATTCACATGGATATTAAGTGACAGAACAGAAATTCCAACCATATAGAATGTTCCTCAAAGAATTCCTGCTATTGCATAATAGGCCCCAAGATCCATGCTAATAAATGTGAAATATAAAATATGCCATGGTGCCTTTAATTTCTATTATTTTAATTGCTGTAAATGAACTATTATGCATTCAAGTGTGCTAGGATTTCTAAGTAACACTTTGGTAAATGTAATCTCATTAATTCTTCTGAATTAAGTGAAATATAATTATTATCTGAGATGACATTTATGTTCACAATATTGCAGTTAAAACAGTTAAAGAAAACTGGCTCCAGATGTTTGAAGGTAATTGATTATTTAAAGCTTTGGTCAGAACCTTGATGACTCAAATACTCAATGACCCTGGTATAGAAGATACCAAATACTGATTTATGATTAATATGATATCATTCCCAATTATATCAATTTCTTCATTAAAAAAACCTATAATTAATACCATAATCCTACAAAATGCATTACCACACATTTTTTAGCTCATTCAGCTGAGGCTGAGAGGTTAAATTCTGTGATTATTTTTTGTAGAAATGAATCAAGGGCAACTTTGGAGTTCATATCCAAAATTTAGACATGATTTTACCATTCTGTTGTGTTGATTTGAACAACAGACTAATGACAATTGACAAGATTGTATCTTCCCTCATCAGATTATTACACTAAATTCATTGATGTTTTAAATATATTTATATACTATGTGTCCTCTGCTTGAAGACTGTCTCATTAAAATGCTCTTCATATTTCCACTTTTTAATTTATTTCTTAACTTCTTAAAAGAAAAATAAAGCTTATATATAATATCAAAATATGTAGAAGTTGCTCTGTAATTATTTTATACTTCCTCATCTAGATTATAACCTCCTTTGGAAGGTACTGATTTACTTGAATCAGGTATCTTTTACACACGTCTCTTCAAAAGAATGAGTAAAATAAAGTACATAGACTTAATTTTTAAATTCACTCATTTAGTCTGAATAGATTTTACTGATTGCAACTGGGTCGCAGCCATTGTCTGAGCAAAGTTCCACATGTTAGAGACGCTGGACAAGTCAAAGCACATAGGTGTGGGATTCCTCTAGAAGAAATCCTGGACCAAGTAGGAAACTGTTTCATGAGCTCAGTCAGAGGCTTTCCCAACAAGGTCTTGCAGCCAACCAGCTGGCTTCCCATCTGTTTTCTCACCTATGTCCCAGGAGGGATTTGGATAGAGGCGAAGGCATGGTTGACATGCATTTGGAGAATGGAAGTATTATTGTTTTTATTTTTAATACATTCCATTCTGTGTATATTTAAATAAGTAATTTTTTCTATAATTGAACACCTTCATAAAGAGAAAAAAAATGCAGTATGGAGTTTGGTGGAGGTGGTGTCACGATGGAGGCAGTGCAGGCCTGGATGAGAACATCACAGCCTTGAAATTGGATACATTCCTCTGAGTTTGAACAGATCTGTGGCCCCAGTGATTTAGAAGGCAGGAGGAGTCAGAGATGTGAGTAGTGTTAGAAGTAAGAAGTGGAGTTTCTTGGGTCCTCTCCTGCCAGTTCTCTCAAATTTTTTAACCGTTGTGAAATGGTAATATCAACAAATATTTGCTGGAAGCCATCTTAGGAAATAACACTAGATACCATAACAGTGATAATAATAGCAGGCAGTTCTTCAGAGCCAGTTCTGAGACAAGCACTTTGCAAGTGTCATCTTCTCTGGTCCTTACAAAGTCCTATAATGTGTCAGTATTATTATTATCCATATTTTGCAGATGAGAATCTGAGGCTTGTAAAGGATAAGTTACTTGCTCAAGGTCCCAGTGTTGGTAAGTGGTTTGCTGGGCCTCCAGGCCAGGGCTACTTGACTCCAGAACACATGTTCTTCTTCTTTGTAGGTCCTTTAATGTCAATTACCTGGTCATGCTAGCTCGCTGCCTAGCGGGCTCACCCTGAAGTTTCTACCAGAAAGCCAAAAATTAATGCCATCATTTGACTGATGTGTAGATGAAGGGAAAGTGTTCATTTGTTAAGATTCTAAATAGTATAAATCTGTATAAAATAAACGTTTACAATAATACAAGCAGAAAAAAATATTAGTTGAGGAAAGTGATCACCAAATAAAAGAATGTTTGTCTAGAAATCACGTGTTTGTATTCTAATTCAGGAGACGGTTGTGCGGGTGATTTTTCTCACACTTTAATATCTTTAGCATCAAGATCATAAACACGGAGAGAAAAGATGTTTTGTTGCCATCATATATATTTTCCTTATGCAACAGAATGTTTCCGTTTATGTCTTTCAGGACACTTAATCCCACTACATATGTATTAAGATGCCACTTGTATTTTCTATGGTAAAGGAACACTCTTTTTCTTCTTTGTTGTATTTTGGAATGTATCTAGGATTCATTAAAAAAAAAACACACAACTTAGCAGCCCCATTTAGGTTCTGGTCCTGTAAAAAATACTAGAATATGAATGTGCAAAGATAAGCATATAAGATGCCTCTTATAACTTTGGATGCAATAGAAACATATCTAAACAAATTAAATATCCTTCAACAGGGAGATTGGTATTAGGTACAACACAACATCAAAAATAGTGAGATAAATGTATGTGAAACAGTTTTAGAAGTGTTATTAAAATATTGCTACATAAAAAGTTGAAAAATTCAGAGTGATATATAAAATTTGACTAGATTTGGTTAAACATTCTATCGTGTGTGTGTGTGTGTGTGTAATATGGTGTCATGTGGTGAAGTGTGTAGGCATAGAAAAAAAAATCTAGAACTATATACCAAAATATTCAAAAGTGGATCAGGTTGCAAGTTACTGGGAAACTTTCACTTCTCAGTTTCGACACTTCTGTTTTGTTTTATTTTTACAAAAGCATGTGTATTGGTGTTGTTAGAATTTTTTAAAAAGAATCTTCTTTTCTTTTTTCTTTTCTTCCTTCTTTTCTTTTCTTTTCTTTTTTCTTCTCTTCTCTTCTCTTCTCTTTTCTTTTTTACAATTTTCTCAGCACTCAGTGCTCATGACTATAAGGCACACCTTACCTTTGCAGTAACTTGTCCTAATTTCAGGCATCCTGCCTTACTTATGTAATGAACAACTGTGCCCCTGATTCCTTTGCTCTTCTGCCTTTTTGTATCTTACTCCCTCTGTGGTGTCTTCAGATTCTTTATGTTGCCAGTTCTAATTCCAGGGCTTCTATAACAAATTTTTGTGTGTATATGTCTCAGTTAATTTTCTTCCTCTATTCTCATTTCCAATTTTGCATTCTTCTATCACATCACGTGTTATAGTCTGCCTTGTAATCAACGTACTAATATGTCCTACTCATGACGTTGAAGTCTTAACTTGTTTATTTCTTTACAGTTAGATTACATTGGTAAGGGCTGATAACATTTGGAAAACTAGTAACATCTTACTTTTGTGAAATTTTTTAACAGCTCTAGTTTTTTCTTGTATCATAATCTGTTGTTGAAGAGATACTTCTACTCTGTGTCACATTGCCAACCTTGTGGCTCATAACCCACTCTTCATTTCTGTATTATAATTTCTGTGTAACAACTGCATTTGCTTCCTCTATTCTCTTATATAAACACATTTCAAGAGGCTGAAATGAGATGACAGTCCAAATAAAGCATCTTAGGCATTTGCAATTATTTCATAAAATGATGCCAAAATATTATCACATACATTATCTCACATGGCAAATTTAATAAAGTCTTCTCTGAGAATCATGAATTTGTATAGTAAACATTCCTGTGTAAATCAGTCCAGGTGGCTTCCTTTTACAAGGACAGGCAGAATTATGTTCAGTATGATAGAACCAAGGGAAAGAGAGTAAAAAGGCAACCTGATTTGTAAATAGAAGCTTCCTCAGTAGTCATCCAGGAAGGGAGTTTTGCTGTGTCACAAGTGACTAGTCCCTGGTTTTAAAAGAGGGTGAGTCATCCCCCTTTGAAACAAGAGATAAGTGGGGGGGAAGAGCTGTTTAAAAATTATTTTACAACTATTTCCTTTGGAGCTATGACTTCTTAAACTGGAATGTGATCCAGAATAACATCCCTTTGAATCCAACATTTGTCTTAAGCATTTTGATTGTCTCTCGCTTCCCTCGTCCCATCTCACTTCTTCCCTTCCTCTGTTCAACAGATTTACACGGACTGGGCTAACCACTACCTAGCAAAATCAGGCCACAAGCGGCTGATCAAGGATTTGCAACAAGACATTGCAGATGGAGTACTGCTAGCCGAAATCATCCAGATCATTGGTAAGACCTGCCCTCTGAGAGAAATTGTGGAACTCTCTGCCCCCACTCCCCCCACCCCTGACTTTGGTAAAAATACAATGTAAGCTGAATGCCTATGAACTCACTCCACGTGTCTCTGAGACGTGTGCAGCTCTTCCTGTGATTTAATTAAAATGTTTATGTGAGGACGTTGGAAAAAGGCAGTTTGGCCATACTTTTAAATGGCTAGAACTGTATCTTTACATACAGTGAAATGTCAGAAATGAACGCTTCATTAAACCATATGTCTCCCATGTGTTCATTTCGTTAACTGGAGCAACTTAGGCACTCTGAGATTCCTTGAAACTGTATCCTGATCCAGCGGGGACAGTTGTGAAAGGTTTCATGTCAGCAGTCATTTGGCACAGGCTAAAGAATTAGCAGCAACTTCCTTCTCATTCACTTTTTTTTTTTCCTTTTGCCTGATTTGTGCATATGGAATTGGCGGCTGCTAACAAGTGTGTCCTCTTGTACACGGCTTGGGAGACAGAGTGAATGTAGCAGCAGCAGCATTTTGCTTGGTGGTTTGTTTTTTTTTCTTAGTCTCCTTTTTTGTGTGTGTGTTTCACTTCATTGCTTAAGCATGTTGTTCTTTTTTTCCCTCTTCTGTTTTATTTCTTGGCTTTAGCAAATGAAAAAGTTGAAGATATCAATGGATGTCCTAGGAGTCAATCTCAGATGGTAAGAATCATGTTTATTCTAAATATAATGCTTATCTTCACTTCCAGATTTAACTGCATTTGTAAATGGACTAGAAATTTATTTTGCATGTCCTCTTGCTTGTTTTAGAAACCATTTGATCATATTCTATCATATATATTTCTTTGGGTGAAATTTATGAAGAAGTGGTAGAAACAATAGAGTTAAATATGTGTAGCATTGAAATAACCTATCTCTGGGTGTTTTTGACATTTTTTTTTCTGATATCTGAATAGTTTCACTTCACACTGTTTTTGATGGCAATGAATACAAAATTGGCAATAATTTCAATTTTAAGTGGAGCCTTTTTGTCTGAACAACTAGTTTGAGGAACAGAACTTGCCATGTGCATTTAAAAAAATACATAAATAGTGTTTTCTTTGTTCATAACAAAGTCCAGTGTAAACACACGGACTCCTCAACACTTTTGGAAGTAGCTGCACAGGCAGGCTGCTGAAAGTTTGCTGAGCAGGGACTGATTAGGGGATGTGATTCATAGCCTTTTCCAGAAACTCATCTATCCAGAGGCCTGTCTCGCCCCCAGCCCTCTCTTATCTTGACCAACTGGTAAACCTTAAAGTTTTATAAGAAAATAATAGATTGATAGATTGCTGAGATAAAAACTCACCCCTTCTTAATTAAATAGCCACAACTTAATTTTATAGGGCAACCTGAAACCAAAATGCCTTAACTGAAGTTATGTCAGCAGATATAATCAGGAATGATAGCCAAAATCCACAAGATGGGGTTTCCTCCTAAGCTCTTTTTAGTACAGAGTAGGCATTTTAAATAAAAATAATGAGTTCTTAATTGTCAGACACTGGAAGAATGAAAAAAAAATGAACTTTTTTGACCTGCTGGCCTGCTTTATTTAGTGTCAGAAAACTGAAATCCAAAATAGTAAAAGGAATTTATTTTTAAAGAATGATTAACTAGCATGTCTGGGGGATGTGTGTGTGTGTGTGTGTGTGTGTGTGTGTGTGTGTGTGAGTTAATCACTCTAAGGACCTGTTACAATGTCATGAACTCTGTGCCACTGTTGTGAGAAAATCACCATAAAGAAAGATTCTCTGTAAAACACTTCAGTTTTAAGGAAACTTCCTGATCTAATTACTCTGGGCACAAAGATGACTCTATAAATATTATTTATAGTTGTTCCCTGAAGTTTTACTGAAAGCAATTATACCTTCAGACCCTGCTACAATAAAAGCTGCATGATGTTGGGGAAGACTTGTAACTTCTCTTGAGCCTCAACTTTCTCATCTGTAAAATGAACCCTAATTAACGTATGATAATGTCATATAATTAAGGACATTCTTTACTCTCTAAACTGATATCGAAATGCAGAATAGTATTGCTTACAAACTTTAAAAAGAGCACATTCATGAATTAATACCTATTAAAGGATTTTTAGGGCTTCATATTTAAAAAGCTCTATAATCCCTGAACAGTACAGAGTATGTTTCTCAAACCCAACCCTATCAGTTTTGCTTTCATTATTTCAATCATAAAGAGAGGTTGGACGCTAAAACTCTTACCTTCTCTGCTGTCATCCCAGTTTGAGTCTGCTTATAGGGAATCCAATAAATAGCCCAGCTAATACTTTATGACAGAAAATAAATAAATAAACCTCCAAAGCTCATAACTCTGGATAGAGATGAAGTCCTTACATATTTATCTGAAACATCTGTACCAGAGATTCTTGAAATATTCTTAGGAGTATCAGACTGTTTTTTTAATTACTCCCTACCTTATCAGCCTCCAAATGTCTTATAACATCTAGTATACATGTTATGTTGGTATTTCTGCTTCTGATTAAAAAAAAAAAACAAAAACAGAAAAACCAAAACCTGAGAAATGCAAATGTTATAGAAACAGTGGTTTTTCTAGCTAAAACTTATTCATCGGAATTACATTGAATTTTGAGTAAGAATGACTTGGAGCCTCATTTTTTGATGTGGTTGAATTCTTAACCTGAAATCGGCATGCCTTCAGCATGTTGCTTCAGAAGAATACATATGACACAAATGTAACTTTCTTTGGTTGAAATATTTTTGCCTCTGTTCTTAAGAATTGTCAGTGGCACTATGTTATTAATGAATAAAAATTGCAGCTTTTAACTGAGACAAGAAAGTAAAGAGAATTATGATACTATGACGAGGCTTATAAATTTCACGTATCTGTTCCAAACAGGATGTTGCCTGTTTCTTTCTTGTGTAACAACCAAGCAGTGCTGCATTAGTAATAATGAGAACTATCTTTACTCATAGAACTACTTGGCCAATTCTTTTTTATATTTGATCTTTCATGGCCTTTGTTTGCTGTTTGTGTTTAATTACAAGAGGGAAGGTAAAACTAGGTCTGTTACTGTTTCTGGTTACAAATTGCCTTTTCTTTAATTATTTCAAACTTGATAACTTTTATTGGGTTGTTCTAAGCCTTTAAGAATAGAAATTTTCTTGTGTTATGAATCTACAGTACATTGATGAGTAATGGTAGTTCGTATCTAGGCAGTATTAACTGAGCACATCAGATACCAGGCACAGGGACACTTGAGGATCAGAGGAACAAATATTTAAAATAAGTCATAGCAACAGGGTTACATACGTAAGAACAAAAGTACCGTGAAGGAAGTGAGCTTGGTGTGTTGCAGAAACAGAAGACCACTGTGGTTTGAGCACAGTGAGAGGTGTTGGAAGGGGACGATGGAAGCCTGATCATGTTGGACCAAAGAAAGGAGTCTGTATGCTACTCTACTCTAAGTTGATTAAGGAGTCTTTGGAAGATTTTTAGAACTGGGCTGTGTTACAATCTGATGTCAAGGTTAAAAAATACCACTCTAGGTGCTTTCTGGGGATTGTAGGACACTTAAGTGTTGGTCTCCAGTTGGATGTGGGAGATGAAAAATATAGGGAGTAAGAAATGGCCCCCAATTTTCCGGCCTCAATGAGTAAAGAGTTACCACTAAACAAGGTGATTATTATAGAGGGAGAAAACAGCTTAAAAGGTGAAGGGGGAAGATGATAAATTCGTATTTTGACAAGTAGAGTTTGATGTATCCATTGGATGGACCATCAGGTAGGAGGTGGTTGGAGGCAGTGAGGCATGTGTTTCTGAAGGTCAGAAGTAAGATATTGGTTAGAGTGTACCTAGTACATGGAAAATGATCGGAACCACAGACAAGGATGGGATGTCCCTGGAGGTCTGTGTAGAGTCAGAAAGGAAGAAAGCTGTGGTTCTTGCATGTACGTGATGAGCAGATGTGTAGGAATCAGAAGAGGGAAGGAGTGGTGAGAGAATGAGCCCGTCGCTGGGAAGGTAGATGGGCAGATGTGGATTGTTAATCCTTGGAGTAGCTATGGTAGCATAAGCTGTAGCATTTACTTGGACTAACCCAGTGGGACTGGGCAATGTAAGACAAACAGATTGTGGCAAATGCTGTCAGATACCCAGAGTCAGAGTATCGGAAAGAAATAAAGTTAGTTCTGGTAATTAGACGGGCACGGGTGGCCTTTATGTAAACATCTTCTGTAGAGTGATCATGTGTGCAAGAGTAACTGAGAGGTGCAGGTATCCATGGAGTCTTGAGTAATCTTCTGAGGACTTTCCTGTTGAAGGAAGAATAAAAAATAAATAGTTTGAAAGGAAGGCTGGGTGAGGGAAGTTCTTGCGGGAACGGGGAGGGAAGTAGGCAGAGAAGGAGGAAGCAGTAGGGAGAGGGGAGGATGCAGACATGTGATAGTGCCAAATCCTCAAAGAAGTGGCAGAGGAGGAAATTTGAACTCTGTGTGGAAGATTTAATGTTGGAAAAGAATACATTCTCCTTTGTCACATATCATCAAGGGATACGATTGTGTGAAGAGGTGGCTATATGAAAGTGGATTGCATAGAAATTGAAGGGATTCAAATCAATACGATAATGACTTCAGAATATTAGATAATACCAATGTTCTCTTTTCTGTGTTATTCTCTATTAGTTACCTTATATTATAAAGAAAAAATTTGATTTTACAGCAAATAAAGAAAATTCAACAATAATTCTTTCAAATAATACTGACTTAATTATATATATATATAAGAAAAATTAGGAGCTTGTCTTTTCAGCAATTTATTAGCATGATTTTTGAGAGATTTTGAGACCTACTTACTCTCAGTGTCAGTTGCTATCTATTGTTATCTTTCCTTAATAAGCTTGAGACTAAACTCATCCCAAAAGGCCAGAACTAAGTTTGTAGGAGCTTATTCAGCACTATATTTAACCTCATCCAAAGATGAAGTTACTAATATGGATGGCACCTGTTAAGTCATTTCTAGGTGGGTGGTATCAGAATTCAAAATATATGCTGCATGCCACAACTTTGGTGAGATTATATGAGGAAATAAATTAGTAAACTATAAATACCAAGAATGCCCAGAATGCCCAGCAGATTAAAAATAGCAGGAAAAAAATGCTCAACATGTATTTGAAATGCAGAGGCACAAGTGCAAGGTTCTTAGACAAAAATGTAAGACATGTAACAGAAAAGTTGTTTTGAAAAGAAATCTTTATTTTAAAATAGACCGTTAGAGCACTTGGCTGGTTAGCTCAATTGGTTGGAGTGTGATGTTAGTAAAATAGACCATTATACTTAATAATCTTCACAAACGCATTGAGAGATTAGGAAATTTGATTATGTGAAAGAGTCGCAAACCAAGAATTAGATGACAGAGCATAGCTGAGGATCTGGCAAATGGGATCCACAGCCTGTCCTTCTGCTTTGCTGACTCCTCCCTTTAACTCATTCTAGTGGCTTCATTGTTTTTCAGCCACGACCTTCTACCTTATTTTCCATCATATCATACTGGTTAAATTTTGCTGATCTGAGAATTTTTGGAACAATTGTGTCTCTTACCGTTTTTCATTCCTAGAAGATGAAAAATTAGGTGTTAATCTCCGCTTAATTCTCTGATTCTATGTCCTAAAAGTTTGTGGCTTCCAAAAT